GGGCTATGCATGATGAATCCACAGCTATAGGACACTCAGTGGTAAAAACGTTGAAAGCTTTTCCTCTGAGATCAGCAACAAAACAAGATGCTCATTCTCACACTTCTGTGTGATAGTACTGGAAGTCCTAGCCAGAGCAATTCAGCAATAGAAAGAAGGAAAAGGCATCCAGATTGGACAGAATGAAGTCAAACGGTACAGATAACATGATCTTATATGGTGAGAACTCTTAAGAGCCCACTAAAAAAATCCTAGCAAATGAACTCAGTAAAGTTACAGGATACAGAATCAATGTGCAATAGTAAGCTCAATTTAGCTATTTCAAAGCCCACATATCTAAACATCATATTGTGATGAAGAATTCGATTTTGATTAATTTTAAAATTAAGTTTCCTAAAGCAGAATTACAGAGCATAAGCAAGGGTGTCAAAGTGGGTTTTGTGAATGGGGGAATACCTCATTTCAGACTGATCAAACATTGGCTTTGAAGAGACACCAACCATCCTTAGCATTCACACAGATTGAGGGGAAAGCAGTGGAGCAAACAAGTCAGTTTATACATCTTCCTGAGATGTGTTTGCCTGAGGTGGTGCCAGTACATCGTTAAGAGTGCCAAGAACATTGCTTTTCAAATCATATTTTGAAGGAATTCTTTTATTGGGTTTCCCATTTGGTCAAACTCTTAACACGAGCAATTCATATTATCCATAATCTTGGGAATTTCAATAATAAAAAGAATACTCCTTTGGAATAGATGGCCGTGGATTTCCCAAGGGAATTTTCCATACTGGAACTAAAGTCTTTGCCACTCTATTGAGCTATTATGTCAGTTTCTTCAAAGGGCTAACCTTGGCTCTAGAAATTGTATGGTATTAATTAGACTAGATGGTTATTTGCCAACCCTAGAGTTGTTTTGAACTGGGTCCTAGGTTCTTTTCTACACTTCAAAAGCTATGAAAATCTAAATAAAAGGTCATAAGCCATATAGACTCTGTAGCTAAAAAAACTAGCAAATTCTCATTGCTAAAAATTATAATGCAAAAAGTGCTTAACAGTCTATTTTTCCCACTTTGTCTTATTTCAACAATCTTTTGATAATAGGAAAAAAAGCCACAAAAATATTGACAGGGGGCCTGTGCTGTGACATAGTGGGCTAAGATTCCACCTGCACCACTAGCATATATGGTCACTGGTTTGTGTCCCAGCTGGTCCTTTTCTGATCCAGCTTTTTGCAATGGCTTGGAAAAGTAGTAGAATATGGCCTACATGCTTGGGCCCCTGCACCCAAGCATGGGAGACCCAGAAGAAGCTTCTAGCTTCTGGCATCAGATCAGTCCAGCTCCAGTCATTGTGTCCATTTGGAGAGTAAATCAGCAGATGGAAGACTTTCTGTCTCTTCCTCTAACTCTGCCTCTCAAAAATATTTTTTAAAAAAATTATAGGTAACATGCTAACAGTGATGGCAGATTATGGTCCTGTATACCATGTAGTTGATACCATGGTGTTCTTTGTTATATGTTTTATTATTTGATAATTTTCCAAAATATATCAAAATCTGAAGTGACTAAAGTCCAATGTAAGGCCATCATGTTCCATAGTAAAATAATACATTTGAACATTTCAGAAAGATGAATGGCACTGGGAAAATGGTCAAATACACCTGAGGTAGACATTTTAAATATATTAATGAATAGTGAAAATGCTCAAAAATATCCAAAACTTATTTTCAAAAATATCTCCAAAGCCAGAGAGGTACCCACAGTGTTCTTAAAAAGAAAGAAATGATTGCAATGTTTACTAAATTATTTGTTTCTTTATAAAGATGAACATACTAAAACTACATGTTCCATTTTAGCGTGTATAATTCTGATTCAAAAACCTAGAAAACTGACACCTAAACAGAAAATTTTACTAAAATTTCAATAAATTTTGAAACACAAATCTTTATCATGGTTATATCTGAGGGAGAATTGAACAAAATGATTCCCATGTTTAATTAGGACAACAAATATAAATGAATAACCTTTACTTTTCTTGTAAATGAATAATCATGAGAAGGAAACAACAAATATTACACAAATATTAAGTATGTTACTGACAAAGAATTGGAAAATCTTAGAATTGAAACCTTGTTTGTAAAAAAAAAAAAAAAAAAGTAATAATAAACAGGGGTCACTGCTGTGGTGTAGTAGGCTAAGCCTCTACCTGCAGCACCGGCAGCCCAAATGGATGCCAGTTCCTGTCCTGGCTGCTCTTTTTTTCCAATCCAACTCTGAGCTGATGGCCTGGGAAAACAGAGGATGGCCCAAGTTCTTGGGTCTCTGTACCTGCATGGGAGACCTGGAAGAAGTGCCTGGCTCCTGGCTTTGGATTGGCCCAGCACTGGCCACTGTAGCCATTTGGGGAGTGAACTAGTGGATGGAAGACCTTTCTCTCTGTCGCTCTCTGTCTGTGACTCTACCTTTTCAAATAAATAATACTTTTAAAAAATTGAATAAACATCAAAAATCAATGAGGGAGGGGCTGGTGCTGTGGCACAGTGGATTAATGCCCTCGCCTGAAGCATCGGCATCCCATATGGGCACTGTTCTAGTCCCGGCCACTCCTCTTCTGATCCAGCTCTCTGTTATGGCCTGGGATAGCAGTAGAAGATGGCCCAAGTCCTTGGGCCCCTGCATTATGTGGGAGACCCAGAAGAAGCTCCTGGCTCCTGGCTTCGGATTGGCACAGCTCCAGCCATTGCAACCATCTGGGAAGTGAACCATTGGATGGAAGGCCTCTCTCTCTGTCTCTACCTCTCTGTAACTCTCTTTCAAATCTTAAAAACATCAATGAGAGAAATAAGTAATTATTCTACACATGGTGCTAAAAATTGTTAACCATTTTAAAAAATTTTCAATCCTTAGAGCATACAATATGCCATATTTCAAGCCAACATAAAAATTAAATGAAAAATTTCACTCGGAGCTGGCTGAAAAGCTCATGAGAGTATTTCAGGCATGGAAAGCCAAGACACTCTGGCAAAAGATCTCTGCGAGTGAGATCCCAGTGGAAAGAACAGGTCATCAAAGAAGGAGGTACCTTTCTCTGAAGGGAGGAGAGAACCTCCACTTTGACTATGACCTTGTCTAAACAAGATAAGAGTCGGAGAACTCAGAGGGCTTCCATAGCCTTGGAAACTCATGACTGGAGCATAGGGAGATTACTGATGCCATAAACGGGAGTGTCAATTTGTAAAGTCAACAACAGGAGTCACTGTGCACTTACTCCTCATGTAGGATCTCTATCCTTAATGTGCTGTACATTGAGATTTAATGCTATAACGAGTACTCAAACAATATATTTCACTTTGTGTTTCTATGGGGGTGCAAACTGTTGAAATCCTTACTTAATGCATACTAAACTGATCCTCTGTAAAAAAAAAAAAAAAAAAAAAATTATCAATTCCCAACTTGACTCTCACTGGGATTAAACATGACAATAGGTCTGCTCTGATTTCATCATCATTTAAAAAAAATCATCTATTATTTTTCACTTTATGTTTCTGTGTGGGAGCAAACTGTTGAAATCCATACTTAATGTATACTAAGCTGATCTTCTGTATGTTAAGATAATCGAAAATGAATCTTGATGTGAATGGAAGGGGAGAGGGAGTGGGAAAGGGGAGGGTTGTGGGTGGGAAGGACGGTATGGGGGGGAAGCCATTGTAATCCACAAGTCGTACTTTGGAAATTTATATTCATTAAATAAAAGTTAAAAAAAATTAAATGAAAAATTTGAGTAAGAACAAAAAGATACATCTTAACATATGGGGAAGGATTATTAAGTACTAAAATATTAAATGAGTAAAAGAAATCTCCATGAAAATTTGGTACAGTTAAAGCCAAAACAAAATGTTATAGGTGAATAAACTAGAAACATACTCCTAGTAGATACAACAAAGATTAAACATCCCAACTATGAGTTCCCACAGACCAATAGAGAATTAGAAAATTCTCTTAAAAAGATGAGGAAAAAAATTCAAATGAGCAATAGACTTTAAGATGCAAGGAAGAAATCCATAACAGTGGTCAATACATATCACTGACAAACCTGCAAAAATATTCTAAAAGTAACAAAGCAATAAATTAAAATGAATATCCATTTATACACTAATAAAGGTTTTTAATTAAAAATGTCAAATGCCCACAATAGCCAGAGCTAAGCCATGTCAAAGCTAGGAGCCCAGAACTCTGCTGGGGTCTCTCAGGTGTGTGGCAGGAACCCAAATACTTGATCCATCACCTGATGCCTTTCAAAGTATGCATTAGCAGGAAGCTGGGTAGAAAGTAGATCTGGGACTCAAACCAGGCACTCTGATATGGGACATTGGGTGTCCCAAGTGACATCTTAATCACCACCCCAATAAATCCTATTAAATATTTAATGGGAGAATATAGCTAGCAGAGCTATGAATTTTTTAAACTTCCTGATAGCAGTTTGGTAATAGGAATCAAGAAATAAAAATATTTGTATTAACCAATTATTTCTTTTAGGTATCTCTTTGAAAGTATTAACCAGAAAAGCAGGGTTTTGTTCAAGATTTTTCATTGTAGTATTGTCCACAAGCAGGAAAAGTTCCCTAAATTTCTACCAGTAGAGAAAGGTTATATAAATTATAATGGAGCATATAGAATATTGTTCAGGCATGAAAAAATTTTGAACAATGTTTGTATTATCAAAAGCATTCAATGTTTTCAATTATGTAAAAGTAATAAGGCAAACTCTGAGCTATGCACAGAAAACCTATTATACAAACTACTCCATAATGTTATGGGAAGTTATCACTTGAATGTGGGATAGTAAAGAATTTTATTTTTTCCAACTTCTCTACAACGAGTATGTTACTTACAACAAATATTAAATCTTACTTTAAAAGGAAACATAAATAACCCTCACACCATGATGTGAGGTTCTGTTTGTTGGCTTGTTTAACCAGAAAAATCTTCAGAAGTACTCACCCACAACCTCTGCAATCATGAAAACAAAGCATATCGCCGAAGCAGCACGGAGTTTCCACTTGGCTTGCACTTCCTCATTTGCCCTGTTCTCTGTGGCCTTGGAGTTGCTATGGCAGTGATAGATGCCTCCTGCCTCCAGCTCCCCTGGCCCCTCTCCAGGACATTGATCTTTATTCACAGGTTTCTGCTGGAGTTCCACACTATGGGTGGGTTAAACAGAGGCAAAAAGTGAACACGGTTACAAACACACACCTCAGAGATCCCTGCCCTTACTCAGAACCACTGCCATAAAGCTTCCTACCATTGCTTATGTAGACAATGTCTACTCATCACTTAATGCTGTAATGAGATTTGAAATCTAATATTTCCCAAATCAGGCAGTAGCTGTCAGTTCTAACCCCTAAATAAAGCTTTAGATTTAGTCATTCAAAGGATCATAGAATTTCACAGACAGATTGTAGATAATATTTAGTTCAACTTCATAGTTTCTGGACTGAGAAAAGGTCAAGTAATTGTGTGAGATAAAATAGCCAGGAAATGGAGGGTGGGAGCTTCCATGTCTTTTCCTACTACACCACACACTATCTCTTTAACTCGGCAACAACACTAAAACCAAATTTTACTGGTACAAATATAAATGCTCACACATCTTTAATGTGACTTTTGAAAATTTTTAATTTGAATATGTTGATTCTTAATCTTGCACTTCTGGCCCTGAAACATTTAAAAAAATGCAATAAATTACCTTCCATTTGAAGATTCATTTCATTTGGTTGGTGGTCATCCAGAATTAATCTGATTTTGGACTTAAATGGTGATGATTATTAGTATTCTACTTCTGTTTTTCTGAATTACATTAACATTAACTATAGAAAGTATGAAATTACATAAGTGCATGCTCAAGCTGACTTGCTCCAAATGGTGGAGTTAGAAACGTGCCAGGGTATTCCAATTCAATCCCATCAAGGTTGCATGTACCAATGCCATCTCACTAGTCCAAGTGATCAATTTCAGTTCACAATTGATCATAATGCTAGGTCTAATAGTCAAAGGGATCACATAGACAAGACTAGTGTCTGCTAATACTAACTGATAGAATCAAAAAGGGAGAGAACGATCCAACATGGGAAGTGGGATACACAGCAGACTCAAAAAATGGCAGATGTCCTAAACAGTACTCTGGCCTCAGAATCGGCCCTTAAGGCATTCAGATCTGGCTTAAAAAGCCCATGAGATCCCTTTGGCTCTTAATACTAGCTGATAGAATCAAAAAGGGAGAGAACGATCCAACATGGGAAGCGAAATACACAGCCGACCCATAGAATGGCAGATGTCCTAAACAGCACTCTAGCCTCAGAATCAGCCCTTAAGGCACGTGGATCTGGCTGACAGGCATGGAAAGCCAAAACACTCTGGAGAGAGAAAAAAAAAAAACCCTACATGAAAGATCTCCGAGTGAGATCCCAGTGAAAAGAACAGGTCTTCAAAGAAGGAGGTACCTTTCTCTGAAGGGAGGAGAGAACTTTCACTTTGACTATGACCTTGTCTAAATATGATCAGAGTTGGTGAACTCAAAAGGCTTCCATAGCCTTGGCAGCTCATGACAAGAGCCTAGGGTGATTACTGATGCCATAAACAAGAGTGTCAATTTGTTAAGTCAACAACAGGAGTCACTGTGCACTTACTCCTCATGTAGGATCTCTGTCCTTAATGTGGTGTACATTGTGAATTAATGCTATAACTAGTACTCAAACAGTATATTTCACTTTGTGTTTCTATGTGGGTGCAAACTGTTGAAATCTTTACTTAATATATGCTAAACTGATCTTCTGTATATAAAGAGAATCGAAAATGAATCTTGATGTGAATGGAAGGGGGGAGGGAGTGGATAAGGGGAGGGTTGCGGGTGGGAGGGAAGTTATGGGGGGGGAAGCCATTGTAATCCATAAGCTGTACTTTGGAAATTTATATTCATTAAATAAAAGTTAAAAAAATTAGAAAAAACGAACACAAACAAACAAACAAAAAAAGCCCATGAGAGTATTTTAGGCATGGAAAGCCAAGACATTCTGGCAAAAAAAAAAAAAAAAATGACCTAAATGAAAGATCTGAGTGAGATCCCAGTGGGAAGAATGGGCCATCAAAGAAATAGGTAACTTTCTCTGAAGGGAGGAGAGAACCTCCACTTTGACTATGACCTTGTCTAAATAAGATCGAAGTCAGCGAACTCAAGAGGCTTCCATAGCCTTGGCAACTTGTGACAAGAGCCTAGGGTGATTACTGATGCCATAAACAAGAGTGTCAATTTGCTAAGTCAACAACAGGAGTCACTGTGCACTTACTCCTCATGTAGGATCTCTGTCCTTAATGTGCTGTACATTGTGAATTAATGCTATAACTAGTACTCAAACAGTATTTTTCACTTTGTGTTTCTGTGTGGGTGCAAACTGTTGATCTTTATATACAGAAGATCAGTTTAGTATATATTAAGATAATTGAAAATGAATCTTTGTGAATGGAATGGGAGAGGGAGCGGGAGTTGGGAGGGTTGCAGGAGGGAGGGAAGTTATGGGGGGGGAGCCATTATCTGTAAGCTGTACTTTGGAAATTTATATTTGCTAAATAAAAGTTAAAAAAAAAGTGCAAAGAAGAGAAAAATCACTACCTCTAAGAAACATGTATTTTTGATATTTTGTTGTACAGCCTTATGTACACATTTGCATACATGCTTTTAAACACAATTAGGGTCCATATTAGTTGGGATTCTTTGGATTTCAAGTACGGAAAGCAAAGCTCTTTTTATAACAATCAATGAAAATTATTGGTTGAGCAACTGAATGTCCAGAGGTTTCTAGGTTTCAGACACTGATCAGGGCTCCAGGTTTACTTGTAGTTCTCAACCGTATTTCAACCTCAGGGTAGTCTTCCTGAGATAGTTGCCAAAGGTAATCAGGTTGTGGACTTGCTTTTTCAGAGATTGTGTGTCTATTTCACTACTGCTAAACAAGAGATGTGGGTATGTTTTGTGGGAAAGGCAAAAGCAGTCTTTGCCTGGACTTCCAAGATTCTGTAACCAAGTTAAAATACATTCCTCATTAATTCATTAGAGCAAAGTGATCTAAGTATCTCTAGATGTAGAACAGGCTCTTGATCTGAAAAAAATGATATGAATTCTAAGAAGCATTATTAAGAAGGCTATAAAAATGTTATGATGCATCCAAAAATGAAATGTGAATTTGATATTGATTAGTAAATATCAGTAGATTCACATGCATTCAAATATAGCCAAAGCTTTAAAAAATAGGAATAACAGGCCAATGAAATTGGCTGTAGCATCAAAGAGGAGAAAAAAGAATAAATAGAGGGGAAAAATAGGCAAATACTAGAAATTTTGATACATTCAGAACTTTGAATCCATCTCTTAGAATAGAAATTTTAAAAATAGAGCTTCATGTATATTTTATAATCTTGGAGAAACTTTTATATTTTGTTCTTGTTTGGTGGTATAACTTCTTTAAGATTTTATTTATTTTGAAAGGTAGAGTTACAGACAGTGAGAGGGAGAGAGAGCAAAAGATCTTCCTTCCGTTGGTTCACTCTCCAAATGGCTGCAACGGCCGGAACTGCGCCTATCCGAAGCCAGGAGCCAGACACTTCTTCCTGGTCTTCCACATGGGTGCAGGGGCCCATGGACTTGGGCCATCTTCTATTGCTCCCCCAGGCTATAGCAGGGAGCTAGATTGGAAGTGGAGCAACTGGGACTAGAACTGGCACCCATATGGGATGCCAGCACCACAGGCAGAGGATTAACCTACGCCATGGCGCCGGCCCCTGGTGGTATAACTTAAATCCCTTTGCTTCTATCTCAAAGTGAAACTGGCAATATTTTTTACCATCTTATTCTACATGTTAAGTACACAAAATCACATTGTTTTTGTACATTCCCATCACATCTACCAGGAATCTCAAGCCACTATTCCTATTGGAAAAGAAGATGAAAACTTAAATTCCACCATGCATTTCCAACACTTCATGCATTTTTCATTCAACAAATATTTATTGCCTGTCTACAGTGTGCCTGTATTATCAGACGTGCTAATGATACCATGTTCTATGAGACAAAGTTCCTATCTTTAGCAGTTTGTATCCTACTAGGGGGAGATAAACAATAAATGAGTCAATAATAGCAGAGGCTATGAAGGACAGTCTCAGAAGCTGAAGCTACTTTAAATGTAGTAATAAGAGAAGGCACCCCTATAGAGATAGTAGCTCAGGAACAAGTTAAGGATTGCCAGGGGAAGATCCATCTTAATGAAGTATATCACAAACAAAGGGCATTGCTGGTGCAAAAGTCCAAAGTCAAGAGATTCCCTGTTGAAGCCTCTGTCTTGAATAGAAAAACTGCACGGGTGGCCCCTGTGGCATAAAGAATGAATGGGATTAGGTCAAAATGTAAGGGGGGTAGATCAGGCAGAATCTTGCAGATCTCTGCAAAGAGTTTAATTTAATTCCAGCTCTAAAGGGAGAAACTTGGAAGATTTTCACCAGGGAAGTAACACTATGTGGTTCATATTTCTAAAATGATTACAATTACTTTGGATGCTGTTTAGAAGGCTGAATTGTAGAGAGGAAAAAGAGACCCTTAAGGAGACAGATACTTATAACTTGGAACAGAGTGCTGACAATGAAAATAAAAAGTAGTAGACATATTTGAAGGGTATTTTCTGGTTATGTGGCAGGTTTTCTTTTAAGAACTTCATGCTAAGAGCTCTAAGGAATATGATCCATTTTCCATTTTACTTACAGTTCTTAAAGATTTACTTCTTTATTTGAAAGGCAGAGCTACAAAGAAAGAAGCAGAGATCTTCCAACCACTGGGTCACTACTCAAATAGCCACAATGGCAGGGGGCTGGGCCAGGCCGAAGCCAGGAGCCTCTTCTAGGTTTCTTATGTGGGTAGCAGGGGCCCAAGAACTTAGGCCATTTTCTGTTGCTTTTCCCAAGCCATTAGTAGGCAGCTAGGAAGTGGAGCAGCCAGGACACCAACCATATAGGATACCAGAGTCCCCGGCAGCAGCTTAATCTATATGCTACAACACCAGTCCCTTCAGTATGTTTTTTATTGTGTCAGAAAGATCTACAGATTAACTCTTCTGCATAAGGATATCAGTTACCCCAGCAATATTATTGAAAAGACTTT